AGCACCAGATTTTCTAAATTTTTCTAATAATATTCTATTGAATTTTCTTTTTAATTGTTTATTATTGCTATTATCGGTGAATAGCTTTTCCAGATAATATATTATTTCTAATCGAGAAATTCGTTTGTTATTGTTTCTTTGAATTTTCTCATAGGCTTTAATCTACAAAAATTAGCCAATAAGAATGAAAGCCCTCTATGTTGGGTATAAATCGTGATGGTTGGTGGTCAGGTGATGACTTAGTTGATCAGGTAGTTAATCATGCTATCCCGATATTTGAACGAACACACCCTAGCAAGATAGCTCTATTCATGTTTGATAATAGTAACAATCATGGTGCATATGCTGAAGATGCCCTTTTGGTCTCAGAAATGAACATGGGAGATGGTGGTAAAAATAGAAAAGATGAAGATAAAAAACCTCATCATAATGGTACAAAGCCTGATGGTTCTGTGCATATAATGAACTATGAAGATAGTAATGGTGTATTAAGATCTAAGGGAATTAAATGGGTTCTTAAAGAACGAAATTTATGGATACCAGGCCTTTTAAAAAAGTGTAATAATTGTAAAAAAAATAAGCCTGATCCAAACAACCCAAACTGTTGCGCTTCGCGTATTCTTTCAGCTCAACCTGACTTTGCAGCTCAAAGATCACGCTTAAGAGAGGTAAATAAGTTTTTTTTTTTTTAAAAAAAAAAAAAGAAAAATTATATAAAAACCATTACTTACATGCATATAAACAATTTAGGTAATTGAAGATGCCAAGCACATGTGCATCTTTTACCCTAAGTTCCATTGTGAACTTAATTTCATTGAGTCTGTTTGGGCCGAGGTAAAACGTTATGCAAGACATAATTGTGATTACACTTTTAAGGGCCTCAAAAAAACAGTTCCAGAAGCATTGGATTCTGTTGATTTAATAAAGGTTCGCCGTTTTGCTCGCCGTTCTGAGCGCTTTATGAGTGCCTATGAGCTTGGACTTTCTGGAAAGGCTGCTGAATTTGCAGTAAAGAAATATCGTTCTCATCGTCGAGTTCCAGAAAAAGTTCTTGAAGAATTCGCTCATAACTAAAATATTTGGTTTTTTCTTTCTTTTTACTCTAAAAAAATATGTATTTAAAATCAATAAATAATTATTCATTTTGTCTTAAAATCAATCGTAATAAAAATCGTTCTTCGTATTTTCTTGTACCCGTGATCTTGACAAATTCGTACTATCGATTTTTAGTAAGAAAAAGAGAAAGAGAGTATCGATTATTAACTCAAACCTCTTTTATACTTATTGAAAAATGTAATATTGATTAAGGTCTGATCAACGTCATTGTTGCATCAATTAATAATACGTACCGATACCGCAATTCTATTTTTACCCGTGACTCACGTGACATTCGTTAAGAATCTTAACGAATATCGAAGCCCTGTTGTGCTAAATTCGAGAAGAGTTTGACAGTCAACTGAAGCATACAAAACAACCAATATACATAAACTTCAAGGATATACTTATCCTGAAATCCAGTTACGCAGCAGCAAGCCTTGGAGCTCGGACCAAGTCTTTCCACGCCTTCCATCTCAAGGTTCTAGGAGTCTTGGACGAATAGCTCTATTCTTTGGTGTTTAGATAGATTGATAGTTTTTGACTAAAACCCTTTAGTCACCACTTTCTCAATGTACAAGTTAAAAATAAAAAATAAAATGTCACGGAAGATCGTGAAATCTAAAAATCTTTAACCTAATTCCGACTAACTTCACATACCATTCAATTACCCTTTTTTTATCCTTGGTTGTGCTGATGCCATATTTATACGTATTAGCATTCAAGACCGCTTTGTTTGTTCGAATTGCCATTTTTAGTAAATTTCAATTACCACTCAAGTGCCTTTTTCTCACCCTTGGCTGTGCTTATGCTATTCAGATGATCAACTATCCGTTCGAATTTTCATCCTCAGCAGATTTCACATACTACTCTATTGCCTTTTTTTTTTATAATTGGTTGTGCTAATGCCATATTTATATCAGAATCCAAGATCACTTTGTCCATTCGAATCGCAACTTTTAGCGAATTTCACATTCTTAGGTGTGCCTATGTATTCTGATAGCAAAATCCAAGATTCAATTATCCATTCGATTGTCAACCTCAGCAGATTTCACATACCACTTAATTGCCCTTTTTTCATTCTTTGCTGTGCCGATACCATATTTATAGATCGCTTTGTCCATTCGAATCGCTACCTTCAGCAAATTTCAGTGCCTTTTCTCAGTCATGGTTGTGTCTAGACCATTTATATAGTAAATAAAGATTCAATTATTTATCTAACGCCACTCTTGTCGGATTTTACATACCACTTCATTTCCTTTTTTATCTTGGGTGTGCCTAGAGATGTACCTCGTGCGAAATAAATCATTTGATTAGAAAATTTTAATGATTAGTGATTACCAAATGTATACTTTGTTTCTAAAATGAACTTTTGTCACATGGCTCATGAGAAGTCGCGCGACATGATCTCGTGTGCGACATGTGAAATGTATGCTAAGTTCATCTCGCGACATGTACATCTCTAGGTGTGCCTGATATACGTACCATATTTGTACGTATCAGAATCTACGTACGTAACATTGCTTTGTCTATTTGAATTGCCACCTTCAGCAAATCTTAATACCACTAAAATGCCTTTTTCTTATCCTTGGCTATGTTTAGATTATTTGGATAACAAATCAAGATTTAATTATCCGTTCTAATTGCCATCCACATCAGATTTCACATACAATACGTACTATTAATTCCCTTTTTTTCATCCTTTTAGTTGTTAAAATGTACCTGTATATGTATAATTTTTATTAATTTTAAACAGGATAGGATGGATTTAAAACATTCGAGATATTTTTTATGTGTTGTTCATTATCTTACCTTCCTGTGCCGCGCAATAGCTTTTCAGTAGGACCGCGAAAAGGCTTCATAAGAACTACGTATCAATTTGAAAGTAGAATTGTTAATAGTCTTAAGTAATACGAGCGTTACGTAGCAGTTAGAGTAAGACTAAACAGAACATGCGTAATTTTCTGATTTTTGACTCATTTTTGTGTAACCTGCGATGGATCACATTTTAATTATTTTCTCGAAACTTTTCGATTAACAAATCTTCTTTATATTCGCATACTAAGTTAACAAGAAAATGACGTTAAATAGGAACTTGAATTGCTTGTACGTACATACGTATTTATATCCATTTCGAAATTGGTTCATATTTGAATAAGTATACATAGTATAAGGAACATTTATTAAAATAAAGCATTTAATAAAAGATTCGTGAACATTTACTGTTTATTCTTATTCTACAGTATTAAGGGTTTCAAAATTAATGATTCGATCTATTTTGAAATGATATAGAACCTTTATTTTATTTTCTAACATTAATATTTAGAAACACAAGTAGATTTTTTTAAAACTCTCTAATTTTGAAATTCTCTATTGCAGTAATATAATAACTTCGTACAATTAATTACTGACGGGATATTAAGGATAAATCACCATTTGTTGACATAGATTCAAGCGGACTTAAAGGTAATATGGAAATGAGAAATCTTATTAAAACAATTCAATGCTGTAATGTGTTACTGTATCATTTGCATTTTAATTTATTGAAAACCTTTTAATTAAGATCTTGATAACTATAAAGTTGTATCGTTTGATCAAATCACCCAATCTCTTCAGAGTGTGGGGTATTTACTTTGGAATCAAAATTATAAACATAGGAAAATAGGTAATATAAATAATTATTTGTATCATAAACATCACTTTTGTTATGATTTTTTATAATTTTTTTGATTCTATTTTCTTAATAGAATGATTGAAATCGGATATTGCACAAAGCAAAGCGATGAAAAAATAGATATGTATACAATATTGGGCAAAAATTGTCGAATAACGGTAATTTGGCAAATGAGCACGTGCCGCTTTGCGGCAC